GTCCGTGTTAAAATATATTTTTGAAAATATACAAAACTGAACATCCTACAGTTTTTTTACTGTCTTTATTTTACAGTTAAAATATGTGTTTATCAAATAAAGTCTAGTGTTACAACTAATCGGGGATCCCTTTAAAAACATAGATCAGTTCTGGACATTTAGTCACTAAAAGCCTGACATGTTCCCGTCTTACCCAGCCACATGTGGATGTTATAGGATGGGGCACTGGTGGTGTGCAGCAGCAGGTAAGCATCTCCGGTGTAAAAACTGCCGTACAGTTTTTTGGGAACAGGCTTCAGGTCCATGTTCTCGATACGCCACACCTGTATCCCCGGCTGCTTCCCTGCACTCTGAAACTCCTTGTGACAAACCATGATGGCTCTGAAGGAAACACAAACAAATACAGACATGAAGGATGGAGGGAAACTCAGGACTTTAAAWATCTTTTGAATTGCAAAAACGTTTCAGGAAATGAACTTAAGTAAACCCAAACCCTACATTCATAAAGACCAATCAGTAATTGTTTTTTAACCCTAGACCAATATGCGTCATTGACAAAACTCAACTAAGTTCTGAGAACATGTTTCCTAAACAGTTTAAATAAAAAGAATAATTTACTGCATGCTGTCCACACCTGCTGTCTTRAGACTTTGTGGAGGAAATGCATGAGGACATTTCCTCTCATGTGAAACCACTCGGATATGTTTTATTTAATGTGCAACAGAAGATTTCTTTGAACCTTCAGAGGTCGTCCATCTGGTTAAAAGTAAAAATAATCTTCAAATATGAACATATCTGTTGAAATAAACGGATTAATCAGCTTTACGACCCTGTTCTGACATCATCTGACACCCTTCATCACATCCATCCACCTTCAACCCCTCTGCTCCCTGCAGCTTCACTCTGTCACCTCTCATTCACTCTTCAGAGCAGACATCTACCTCTCTGGACTCTCTTCCACCCACTCCCCACCGTAGACCACAGTGTCGTCTGCAAACAGTGTGATAACGGATCATTTTTAGCACCTCCGTGTCCGAGCCTTTACCAGGAACTGTCAGTTTGCAGATTAAACAGAAGTACTGATGCAGTGAGCCTGTGTGTGTGTGTGTGTGTGTGTGTGTGTGTGTGTGTGTGTGTGTGTGTGTAGGTTCGGCTCTGGTGACATTTGGGGCAATTTTAAGACAAAAAATCCTACATTTGGGGACAACTGGTGCATTTGGGGACAAAAGTGGAGTCCCTGTTTGGTTTAAATGTCATTGGTGGGTGTGGGGGTTGGGTTTAGGACCAAGGTGTGAATTGATTTTAGGTTAGTTTTAGGGTCAGGTAGGTACCTGTGAGGTTAGCCCAGGCATGGGCATTCCTGGTGCTGGAGTTCCTTAGCCCTGCATGTTTTACTTGTTTCTCTGCTCCAACACACCTGATATGAATGAATAGATGATTATCAGACTTCTGCAGTATGGAGGACCAACACTGACATAACTAGAAATAAAAGCAGAATTACATGAACCACAAAATGAATACGTAAAATGCACCAATTAAATTAAAAATGAGCTCTTTATCTCCTGTTTTATACTTTAATTGACTTTCATGTTTATTTTTCCAGGTTAGTTCCAACAAATTAGTCTATATATTTGAACACATAATTTACATTTTACTGTTTTTAAAATATATATTAATTGTTTTTCATTTTACTTGTACATGCATGCAACACAGAAATAAAAAGACTTGTTGGACAAAATTATAAAAATAATTCAATTTAAGTATTCAAGAGACACAAATGCATGTACAAGTAAAAGGAAAAACTATGTAAAATAAATTTTAAAAAACATTAAAATTTAAATTGTGTTAAAA